TAACTATCTTATTAATTAATATATATTGATTATTAATATATATTATTAGTAATATATATTAATATATAGTAGTTAATTAATATATACTAATAATTTCTAATAAATTTGTATTGAATTACTAAAAAATTAATATAAATTAGCAGTTAAAATTTCTGATATATTTAATATAATTATTAAATATTTATAAAAATATATTTATATTATTTAAATAAATAACTAATATTTATAAGCTATTTCTTTATAAATCTAATTTATAAGCAAAAGATAATACTCTCTTTGATGATTACTTAAACTAATTTTGAAGCTAAAAGAAAATTTGATTTAACTCAAGTATTTTACTAAAAACTAATACAAGCAGTACTAGTAAAAGTTAAAGAAAACTAAAATTTATATATATTATATTAGAAGACTAAAGAAACTAGAGGTTAACAATAATTATACAAAAGGAAATTTTCTTGATAAAAAAATTTTTTCTAAAAAATTAGAGATTTGCATACTCTTAGTATTGCAGATTATTTTATATAATACAAATATATAAAAAGATAAGTAAACAACTTGTATTTTACATAAACTAATAAAACATATCATATAGTTACTAATAGAATAGAGTTATATAAGGTAATAGCTAGAAATATTATAGGCAAATAAAAATACTATAGGTATTTGTAAAAAAAGTTAGTCACTTTATAAAAAAGAGTATATTAATAAGAAAAATAAAATAACTAAAGAGAGTAATAGAGAAAGTCAAGATTACAAGGACCAAAGTATAGATTTAACAGAGTTAAAGAAAGTAGCTAGCTTTAAAGTATTATTTAGAGAAAAAAAACTACAAAAATTAGTGAAAGTTATAGAAAGAATAGAAGAGAGCTATAAAAAAATAGACTTATATATATTAAGAATTACAAGTATAAATACAAAAATTATTGCTGTAACTAGAAACTAGTATAGAATCTTAAAAAAAGTAATTTTAGAAGAGAGAAAGGAGGTTCTAGAAAAAGCACTTAGAGAATTAGAATAAGAACTCATTTTTATAAAAGAAAAAAAGTAATTAGAGAGTGAACACAAAAGTAAAGAAAGATATAATACAGAAAAAAAAAAAAAAGAAAAAGAGTGTATTTAGACAGAAAATCTAAAGAAACTACAAGTTTCAAACTTAGAAGTTAATAAGACAAATGCAAATTTTTCTAAAAAAATAATAGTAGAAGAGAAACATGTTTAAAATAGTATAGAAACTCTTATTTCACAAGAAATGAAATATCTGAACAAGCAATTAATTAACAAAAACAAGTCAGCTATAGATATTCTCTTCATAAATGAACAAAAAAAAGAAGTACAGAAGCTAGAAAAAATTGATAACTTCATCAATACATCTGAAAAAACAATATCAGCTATATTAGCTGATAAACTAAAATTAACAGAAAGTCAAGAAAGTCTAGCTCTATATAAAGAAGATATAGTTTTTGAAAATCTAGAAGATATACTATTAGATACTTTACAAGTAGAAATTAATAATACAAAAAAGTATTAAAAGAGACAAATTGATTTTGCATTAGCAAATTACAAGAAACCTAGTAGAAATTCTTTAGAAGATAGCTTCTAGGCTTCCTACAAGAATATATATGAAAACTAGAAAGCTACAAAGCAAAAATTGTTTCTATTATACTCCTAGAAGATTTCAAAAAAGAATGTATTAAGTTCATAGAAAGAACAATATACAGAAACAACTACATCTCTAAAATCAAAAAATGTTTTATAAAAGGAAACTCTTGAGTTGTTATCAATTTTGACTGTATCAAAAGATTAGACATTCTAAGAGAAAGAATTAAGAAAAAAGTAATTGAATAGTACAAAGTAATCTTTAAGGAGTACCTAATACAAGAAAGGACAAAATCTATTCCAAAAGATACTTTGAAGCATAAGACAAAATGCATCCTAAAAGCAAAAATAATAGTGAATTAAGAATGAGTAGAAGAAAACTCTAAAGAAAAATATAAATCTCTAAAGATAACAGAAAAGAGTATGAGTAAGGAAGAATGAAATAGCTCTCAGGTTACAATTTGGGATCTTCTAACTTGAGTAAAAAGACTTCAAATCTTCAAAACAGTATACTATCTCAAAAAAATTAAATATATTGAAATAATTAAAAAAGCTTATAAAAAAACAAAAGCTAAGGTAGAATTCATATCTGAATCTATAAATATAGCAGAATTAGAAGAAATGTAGTGTATTTCTTTTCTAAGAGATTATCTAATAAGAATTACAACAGGAAAATACAATTTTGAAGAGTTGAAAGCAAGAAGCAAATACTCTAGAAGATTAACGGATTTGCTTAAAGATATAAATAAAATGCTTTAATGGAGACAAATTAAAATAACAGAGGCAAAATCTCTACATATTTTTAAGAATACTAATAATAATAATATGAAAAATATAACAGTTTACTTTTTAAATAAAAGTAACATGCTAAATAGCTCAAGATTTGTAGCATATTATTATAATGACAAGACAAAATAAGTATTTATAAAGAGGTACAAAGTAGAAGACAAATCTGAACAACAAGAAGATCTGGAAAATATACAAAATAACTACTCAAAGAAAAGTGAAAAAAGCTTAGGTAAGATAAAAGAAGTAATATAAGATCCTTTAAAAGAAACTCTAAATAGACTCAAAAAAGAATATAGAAAAAAGAAAAAGAATTAATGTTTTAGAAAGAATTTTTGAAGAAAAAAATATATACAGAAAAATAGAGTAGACAGATTGAAAAAGAATTAGACACAAATACAGATGATGAAAATAGTGATATCAACAAAAAAGAAAACAAAAAAAGACTAGTTAGAAACAAAAAAGTAGCTCAGAAAGGTCTCTACTCAGAAGGCAAACTAAGATACAAGAAGAAGAAAAAGAAAAGAATTGTATTCAGAAAATACTTAAAAGTTTTTTAGCTCTAATAAAAGAAGAAGAAGAGCTAAGATTATATACAAATAGAAGATATAGGAATCAGAAGATTCCAAATTACTCCTAAATTGCAGTACTATTTGAATTACAGAAAGTTTTAGTTTTGGAAGAAGGAAAACTTAAAAACTATAAGGCAATTGAAAACAAAAACTACAAAGAATTCAGTAGCATAGTATAAAAAGAGAAGTAAAGAAATAAAGTATGTACTAATACAAATCATAGAATATTAAGTATAGCAATATATAATATTAATAGTTTGAAAAATAATATCTCAAAGTTAGAGCTATTAGTAGAATAGGCAGAAGAAAGTAAAATAGATATTATAAAAATAAATGAATTAAATTTAAATAAACAGCAAGACAAGTTTGTACTAAAGAAAGATGCAAACTTCTCATATTTCTAGATAGCAGCAGAAAAGAACAAACTATAAAGTTCAGAAGTAGAGATACTAATTAGCAAAATATAGGAAAAACATATAGACCAAATAACAAGATGTAGCAATTATTATATAGATACACTTCTAGTATTCAAAAAGGCAAAAATCTTAGTAATTATAATATATATCCTATTAAACAACAAAGAAACAAAAAAACTACTACAACAATATATCATAAAAAGGATAAAAGAGAATGAATAGAAAGATATTAAAGTAATTCTAATAAGAAACTTTAATAATATTCAGTTAAGAGTACTAGATTAGAGTAATAATGAATTCAAAAGAAGCCAAGTACTGTTTCTTTTAGCATACTAATAAGTTCAAGTTGTGAAGATATATACTGAAAATTATATCTACTTAGAAAAGAATACATTTAGTCTAATAGAAATTCAAGTTCAAGAATAGATTATATTTAGATTTTAAGAAGTTTGAGTTAGAAGATAATAAGCTGCAAAATTGTAAATACAGAATATATCATAAGCAGTAATCATAATATTATCTAAATATAGTTTATTACAGAGTTTAGTCAAAAGAATAGCTCAGTAGCTCAAACCAAAAAAACTAAAGGAAAGAAGCATATTCTGAGACTAGAGAAAGCTATAGTAGAAGACTAGAAATATTATAATCAGAAGCTTGATACAATGCTAAAGAAAAAGCTAAAGTATAATACAAATAAAGTAATAATAAAAGAGTTTTGCAAGAAGAAAAATATAGATGAGCTTAAGATACAATAGCAGAATATATAATTAAAAGTATATGCAAAATGCTACCAAATAATGAAACTAAAATAGAACTCAATTTAATTAGAAAACTAAGTAATAGTAATCTAATTTGAAAAGATTTAAGAATTCTAGACAAGCTATATTATATATATATAGAAAAACAAGATATGTGTATTGAAGAGTATTACAAATATGTATAGTTAGTTAGAATTTAAGAACTTAATGAAAAATTAGACTTTTCAATAGAAGAAATAATAGAAAAGTTTTGATTAGCAAAAAGAGGAAAAGAACTAAAAGTCTAGTATAAGATAGTATATACCAAAGTTTAGCAAGAAAGAAAAAAAGAAGATACAAAAGATATAAACAAATTTGTAAATATCAGATATGTAGTAATGCAAGAAGAATTAAAGCATATGCTAAGTAGTCTTCTAGAGAAATTCTCAAACAAGATATGAATAGATAGAGTAATAGTAGAAAAAAAGGAAGAAGCTATGTTAGTAACAGAAGAAAAAGCAATACAAAAGAAAGTAAAACTATATTTCATATCTTAATTCTGAAAGAGAAAACTTATACTGGTTGAAATTTGCAAAAATGGCACTAAATCAGCAAATATTCAGCAAACATTTGACATACTATTTGGTAACTATTCAACAAATATTCAGTAAATATTCAAATGCCATTTGGTACAATTACTGCCACTCAGCATTTTTGAATGCTAAGTAGCAGCGATTATACCAAACAGTATCTAAATGTTTACTGAATGTTTGCTGAATAGTTGCCAAATGGTATGTTGAATGTTTGCTGAATGTTTGCTGATTTAGTACCATTTTTACAAATTTCAACCAGTGTTAGTAGTACCAGTATTTTGAACAGATAAAAAAATACATATGAAACAACAATACCAGAAGAAAAAACAGAAACCTTCTACAAGTACAAATGATGCAACAAAGGAAAATTCAACAATAGTATATATAAATTAACTATTAAAACTAGAGATTAGCACAAGGTTATAGATGTTTATAAAAGAGAAAGAAAAATTCTACTCAAAGCACCTATAGCAGCATACTTAGAAGAAAAAGAATTAGTCTCTAACTTCAGACTACTACAAGAAGTTAGAGTAGAAATTGTAGCCAACTCTCTTGAAAGTGCAATTATATATAAATCTATTAGTAATAGCTTGATTAAACAAAATTTACTTGAACTAAGTAAAAAGCTAAAAGATGAAATTTATACAGATGAGGTAATAGCAGCTAATAGTAAGAGAGAGAACATGATGTGAATAGGTTGAATTATAAAATTAGGAAATAGATTAGCTAGAGAAATTAGTTTTAGTAGTAGTATAGGAAACTGACTCTCTTCTACACATATTGAACTAGAAGCAATATAGACTACTCTGCTAATACCCTAGCTAGAGCACAAGTTTATATATTCACAGATAGCAAAGTAGCAATTGAAACAATTGAAAAATCTAGAGATAATAGTAAACTTTTCAAATAGTTCAAAGCAAAAAACCAAAGCCTACTAATGCAAATACAAGAATGTTGCAAAGCTAAAAATCTCAACCTAAAGCTATACAAAGTTAAAGGACATAGTAGTAATGCAGAAAACAACTATGTAGATAATCTTGCTAAGAAGAGAATGTGTATACAAGATATACTTAAGATACCAGAAGTTGCATCTAGTGATATTGCTTTTATACTCAAATAGAAAGAGCAGATTATAGATAGCTCTCTGAGATCCTTTGTCAACCTAATCTCAATAGCTCACTAAGAAACTGAGTAGTCTAGATTAAGTAAAATAACAGAAATCTTTAATATAAACTAGGAAGAGCCTCTATATGAAAGTTTTATCTAGAAAAATACCTGTTAAGTACTCAAAAAATGGCAAGGCAAAAACTGCATCAGTATGAAAAAAAAGCAAAGCACTTTTATTCTGTATCAAATGCATAAACAGTATATTGCTAACTAAAGACATATGCTTTTTAAGAAACCTAACATTATACAAAAATCAGAGATGTATTGTTTGTTTTAGAAAGGTTGAGTTACTATATCATATTGCAGAATATAAAATATATATAAAGATATAGAAAAACTTAGAAAAGGAAGCTTTATAGTTAACAGGCTTACAAATATTAACAAAGCTAGAAATTTCACTAGAAAATAGATTTTTTAGAAATGCTATCTTTGGAAATAAGCTAAATACACATATCCAAAATAGAAAATTGCTTATTAGAGGATTTACAAGTGTCAAACAACAAAGAGAGGTTACGAAAATAACAAACTCAAAAAAGAAAGCAAACAAAATACTATTAATTTTCTTAGATCAATTCTGGATATGCTTTTTTGAATGTTTATAGAAGTTCTGATGCAAAATTATGATTGAATAGAAAAAAAGAAACAATATTATAGCAAGGGAAAAAAAACAAAATGAAAAAGAAAAAAAGCAAATTCAGACAAAGAAAACTGCAGATTATCTATTTCAGAATAGAAAACAAAAAAAGAAAAAGAATTTGCTATTCAGAAAGAAGCATGTAAAAGAATCGATAAATAGATTGCTCATAGTTCTAAGAAAGAGTGGTCACATTTTAAAATAAAATAAGAGATTTTGATAAAAGCTAGTAGTAGTCTCCTAAAGATTAGAAGTAAGTAGGTTAGGAATATAATTTATCACTTCTATGAAGGAAATTGCTATTGTAGCAGATTGCACTTATATACCTAAAAGTAGCCGAATGAGTCTAGAATTAGTATAAAGAAGGGTAATTTAGTATAGAATATTTATAGTTTTTTATTCTGTAGCTTATTTAAGCTTTTCTTTAATAAATGATAGACAAGATCGCCTAAGTATAAAAAAAAAAAAAATACATATGAACTAATAGAAGAAATTAATACAAATATATACAACTTACTTACAAAAGAAATATCATTATATGAATAGTAGTTAGTACTCAAAGACATAAAGAACAAGTCTGTACTTAGATCTTTTAGAATTAGTTACAAGTAGTTTTGCACAAAAAATCTTCTTAGTATTAGCAAACAAATATATTAGGAAGAATGATATTCTAATAAAATAGAAAATTAAATAATTATACTCTATTCTAAAAAAAGAAGATTAGAACTCTACAACTTGTTGAATGTAAGATCTATTGTACTTCTTGAGGCTTTTAGAAAAGTAGTAGTATAAGTAATAGGCAAAAGGCTAGATAAGTTACTAACAAAGTTCAGTATACTTAAAGAACCAAATTATACAAGTTTAACAGGAGGTAGTATAAGCAGCTCTATTTATATCATGAATAATTTAATTAAGAAAATAAGAGAAAAGAACAAAGAAATCTGAATTCTTTTTTAAGATATAAAAAAAGTATTTAACTTAGCAAGCTTCACAATACTAGAAAAGATATTAAAAAGAATAAAAATATCTACAAATACAAAAAAGTTCTTGCTTAATCTATTTAATATAAGAAGAATAAAAGTTATAATTAGCTTTAGTCTAATACAAGAGTTTATAGTAGAGAATTGTTTAGACTAAGAAGAAGTAGTTTTACTACTACTCTAGTATATTTTTATGATTTACTACTATATGTAATCTAATGCAAAAAAAAGCTAGAATATAAAATGAGTCTAGACTAGCTAACAGATCTAAACTATAACAAATCTAAAAGAATTAGCTAGAAACAAGGTGTCTTAGCCTATGCTAATAATACAACATAGATTGCTAAGTCAAAGAAAGAGCTTATAAAAATTATAAGAATATCAAATGAGTTTTATGACTTAAATTATATAGAGATAAATAAAAAGAAATCAGAAAAACTCATATTAAATTATAAGAACTAAAGCAATATAGACTTAGTACTCAAAATAGGAAAAAATAAAGATATTATTTATGTAAAAAGAGAAGTAAAAGCAATCAGATACCTAGAAGTTTGGAACTCAGAAAAAGGTAGTAGTAAATACAATACTAAAATTATTACAAGAAAAATCACAAAAATATGTAAAATAATAAAATTCAAAAGAGCTATAGTTAGTTAACTAATATATTTGAACAATAGCATGCTTTTACCTAGTATTGAGTATAGATTACAAATTTTTTTCTCTTAAAGTTAAAAGGTAACTGAATTCAAAAACTAAATTAGATAATAATTAAAAGCAAACTAGAGCTAGCAAGATCAGCAATAAATAGTATATATATTTATAATAGTTTGTTTAGCCTTAGATCAATTTAATAGAACTAAATTATATACTAGGTTATAGAGATCACTTTATATCTTAATAAAATGAATAAAGTTAGAAATACTACATATTTTAGATTAAGAGATGCACAATTAAAGTGCAAATCTAAGTATAGTCTACTAGACAAAAGATATAACTTTATTACAAGAAATATAAAAAATAACTTATTATATAATATAATACACAATATAATAAAGCTAGATTTTAACTTTTAAGAAATATATATAGGAACAAATAATATAGAAATAAAAGGAGTAAAAATAAGTAGCTTGCTAGAAAAACAACTTCTCAAAGACTTTGTAGAAAGCAAGTACAGAACTATATTCATAATTAATTAGTTGCTAAAGAAAGAAAATAATCATTTACTTTTATAGTAACAAATTAGTTTGCTTAAAGAAAGCAAAAGAAAAGGTTGCAAGCCAAATTGGTTTAAAGAAATTGAAAAGAAAGTTCTAGCAGATAACTACCTAAGAGAAATGTCAAAAAATTTCAAAACTCAAAACAAAAACTAGATTGCATTAAAAGCAAAAAAGTAAAAACTTAGTACTAAAAGAAAAAAAAGATAATAAATCATCACAAAAACAAACAGTATCTAATTATTAGGAAAATAGCAAAAGTAACAAAAGAAAAATTTATACTAGCTTACTAGAAGATCAAAGAAATAAGTAGTAAACTTAAAACAAAATTATCAAAATACAAAGGATATAATAGTAGTAATAAAAGTAGTACAGAATACTTAATTAATATAAGCTTAAAGAAGTAGTACTAAGTTATTTGCAGAGTGCTAAAGAAAGAAGAAAATGAGATAAAACTAAAATTCCTAATATTAGCATTACTAGAAAATTATAATAATTCTATAGTAAATCCTTAAATTTGCAAAATAATATTTAAGTTGAAATCACAAAAAGAGAAGAAGCAATAATACAAAGAGTAATCAGAGAAGAAAATATATAAGAAGAGCTTATTTCAATTTCAAAAAAGTTAAAAAGAAAAAAAGAGTTATATTTATATACAGATAGATTATTAGTAAAAAAAAAAGACTAATAATGTTAGCAAAATAAAAATAAAAATAGATTAGATAGTAGCTAGTATAAAACAAAATAATATAGAAAGTATTAGTTTTAGCAGTAGATTAGCAGACTAGCTCTTCTCAACTTATACTAAATTAGTACAATATAGACTACAATATTAGAGTACTATATAATATAAGTATAAATATCTTCTCAGACAGCAAGGTAGTAATTAAAAATATATTAAGAAACAAAGCAGATAATAATATGCATGAACTTTTAAAACAAAAAACTATAGTCTGATTAGACAGATTAAGGAATACTACAAAGCAAAAAAACTTGAACTAAAGTTAACAAAGATTAAAAGCTATAGTAATGACTTTTGGAACAATAAAGCAGATATTCTAACAAAAGAAGAATTAAGTTCCAACAAAATTTTGCATATAAAAGATGTCAATACAGATAGAGTAAAAGTATTGTCTAGATAGAAAGTCAAAGTTATCAATTACTTAATAAGAGTATTCATAAATATCTTAATAGCAATAACTTATAAAACAGAATGAGCAAAATTTAGCAACTTAAAAAATCTTATATATTCAAGTTTAGAGCTTAGGAGTATAGAAAAAATATACTAAAAAGGTCTTTAGAATATGCTCAAAAAGTTTCAAAAAAGGAGATATATAAGTCTTCAAGGTAGCAAAGTACTAATTTTTAGAATAAAGTGCTTAAACAAACTTCTACTAATATATGATATATACTATCAATAAAGACTAATGCTATATAAAAATAAAACTTGTATAGCTTGCTGTACTACTAAAGAAATATTTAGTCACTTAGCACAATATGTAATATATCAAAATATATAGATATGTGTAAAAGAGATTATCATTGAAGAGTTTAAGTACAAGATACTTGAAGAATAGAATATATCTATATCTAGCTTAGACTTAAAAAAAATGCTACTAGGAATTGAGACTAAAGATAAAATAAGTTGAAGAATATTATATCTACAAGATATAAAAATAAAAATCAGATAAAAGAAA